ATCTAAATTACTCATGAAGAATATTATATTGAAATCAGAGTAATAAACAGAATAAAAGAAATGAGAGAAGATTACCGACAACTCCGGAATTCTTCCGACTTCTTCTACTCTACTCTACTCTCTTCCTATTCTAGTATACAATATAGTACAATAGAGCCTCTTATAATTCAACTCAAGCTTGGAAGTGTGTGTTGAAGTGAGTGAGATGATGTCCTTATATAGGGGTATGTATGACGGTTAGTGAAGGGGAAATGTCCGAAGTGCCCTCCAACCGTCATCAGGGATGCATCTGGGACGTCCACGCCAAACCCCAGCCTGAATGGCTGAGATGTTGGTTCGACCGAACCAGGGGGTTCGGCCGAACCTGGGCTGGGCCCCCCTACCTGGCTTTTGGCCCATCTCCTCCCCTAGTCCTCCTCTATCCATTTCTCGGAGTTTTGGACTGTGTCTTTGATATTTTGATGAAGTTTACAACCCATCCTTGTATGGATACATGTTTCTCCTCACTTTAGTCTGATTTTCCTCCCAACTTCGGGGTTTAGCACCTGCATACAAATAAACACCAACACTTGTGGAATATGTGAGATTTAACACCTATCAATATGTTGGATGTTTTATTATCTGAACTTTATACATATATTGGCGGTATAGAATCGGCATTTAATAACCGCCAACACTCCCCCTACCACCTCAGCACCAACCCACCACAGTGGCAGGAGGAGGCTGGCGCCGTCCCATTGTATGACAGCGCCAACGACTTTGGCACCCCAAAAAATACTATTTCTGGGATAAGTTTTTTTAGGGGTTTATTTGCGAAATTATTTTTTCAAAAGGACCAAATTGTGAAAAATCCAGCACACTCTTTTGCAGGAAAGCCTAAGCACTTTCATCTTTGCCTTTTATTTTTTGAAGGAAAGGCAAGAGATTTTGCCTTATATATTGATAGAGTAGAGTTGAGGTCTAGGCCTCAGAAAAAAAAATGTACTTGACATGGTCAAAGAGAGCCAATGTGCACAAAAGAAAGCTCAAGAAAATCACTCTCCCAAAGGCTGTAACTCTGCAAGGTCTTGGGCTCCTGCCCTTCGCCATTGTAATGCCTCGTCTTTGATTGTCTAGATGATTAATGTTGGTGTTTGAGCCACATGCTGAAAGATTCTAGTGTTCCTCTCATTCCAGATCATCCATGAGATCAAGATGGCCAATGTTCTTAAAAGTTTCTTTGGGACACCTGGGGTGGAAGTGAGGAAAAGCAACCATTGCTTCCCCGCGCCACAGCTTGCCTACTCCTGTATCCTGAGGTCGAAGCTAGTCAAGTGCTGCACTGCCTCCCAAATTTGAATTGTGAGCCGACATTTTCCTATGGAGGTGGATTCCTGATTCTGGTCTCGTTCTGCACAAGGAGCATATCCACTGGTTTGTCCATCCTCTTTTTTGTAGCCTGTCAGCTGTCCACACTCAATTTTGCATAATTAGCCACATGAAAAACTTGCACTTAGGAGGTGCCCAAGGCTCCCATATGATGTGCCGGTACGGTCTTGCCATCATGCCCTCGAATTGCAGTTTGTAAGCTGACTTTGCCGACTACTTCCCTAAAGCGGTTAGTTGCCATCTGATCTCATCTCTTTGTTCGTCGACTAAACTTACTCGTTGTATCTTCTACCACATCTCCACAAACTGCTGGAAGTGCTTTGGTTTGTTGAAATCTTGGATGCACTGGTCCTTTGTCTATCTCTCGCCTGTTAGGGCTTCCTTTACTTTATTGTTTTTTCTTCTTGACACCACGAAGATGTGTGGAGCAATTTCTTTTGGCACTTGGCCAGCAAGCCGCTTCGAAATCCAAAATGAGGCTTTAGTTCCGTTTCCCAGGCGAATCTCTGTGGTGGCATTGAACATCTGTCTATCTACCTCATAGCATGGAATTGGCGTCCCCACCCATGGCGGCTCGTCAGTCGACCATTCTACCCAAAGCTAGTGAAGACGCAAAGCTCTCCCGAACTTTGACAAATCCATGATTCCCAAATCGCCTAGGTCCTTCGGCATGCAAACGTTGTCCCAGCTTACTTTGCATTTTTCCCCCGACATATTATCTCCTCCCATCCACAGTAATTTCCTCCGTAGCTTGTCCATTGCACGTAGTGTGGTTGCCGGCACCTTTAGGGTTGTCAAGTGGTAGGTCGGTAGCACTGTGAGGGCTGTTTTTAGAAGCATCGATTTGTCCTTCGTATTTATCATCTTGCCCTGCCAGTTTGCTAGGCATGAGCCTGCTTTGTCGAGGATAGGTTGGAAGTGGATTTTGTTGAGTTTCGAAATTGAGAGGGGGTAAGCCAAGGTATTTTATAGGGAAACTCTTTATAGTTGCTGGGAAGTTATGTAGGATTTTCTGAAGATCAATGCTGTCGCACCTTATTGGCACTACTTGTGTCTTTTGAAGGTTTGTCTTCAGGCTAGTCGCTTCTCCAAACATTGTAAGCAAATGGCTGAAGTTGTTGATGTCATGTTTTGACTGATGTAGGAAGATGGCAACATCGTCAGCATAGAGGGAGGTCCCGAGTCGAGGCAGGCGCCCGTTTAGGGCTGTCAGGAGTCCCGCCTCATTCGCATTATCAAGCAACTTGTCGAGGGGTCAATGGCTAGTATGAAATGGAGTGCCGAGAGGGGGTCACCCTGTCTTAAACCACGACCGTGTGTGATCGGCAGCCTTGGGGTCCCGTTGAGCAGGAATTTTGATGTGGAGGAAGAGAATAGGGTGGTGACCCAGTTTCGCCATCTCCACGGGAAAACCCTTTGTGTCAGCAGCTCAAGAAGGTAGTCCCATCAGATGGTGTCAAAAGCTTTTGCAATGTCTAGCTTGAAGATGAGCATTGATGTTCTTGTTTGATTATACCGCCTTGCCATGTTTCTCACATACATAAAATTGTCGTGTAAGCTCCTCTTCTTTATGAAAGCGCTTTGATTTCTGGCAATGAGAGTGCTCATGTGAGGTTGGAGACTGTTGATGCGAAAAACACACACTGGCCTAGGAGATCTGCTTAGATCCAGTGCAGGTCCAAATCTTGGTGAGGTGCGGCGTGCCAGTCAGTTTGATCCTGCAACTGACAAGATGTGTAAACAACGGATCAATGAGCCGATTGGCCGACAAGCCGATAGATTAATTCCAGCCTATGCTGATACCAGCCGATAGTGATAGTATTTGGAGCTATTGGCTATATATCCAATGTATATTCTGACGCTTGATGTAAATAACAATATAAAGGCAATCAGCCGATGATAATGCAAGAAAGCAACCATATAATCCAGTAGAAACCAATCGGCTAGCAATGATATGATAGAATAAGCACTGATCCGAAGGTTAAAGCATACATCGGCTGGACGTCCGGTGTCATAAAATCCACAAGATTAGATAAACAGTGAAAACCTTTGTTGTCATTGGTTAAATCCAACTTATATATGCAATCCTTGTAGGCCGATGCAACATCTAGATACCTCATCGGCTGAAACCCCGATGAAACCCTTATTAGCAGTCAAGAAGCATGCTAGAGATTATGGTTCTAAACACGACTTAGTAGATCAAACTTAACTGATGCAACACTAAGTATGAAAAGAAACATAATATCTAGACAATCAAGCCCTTAACTGATTTTTAGGGTGGTAGATGCCTTAACTAATCTAATCTAGTTAAACAATTTAGCCGATACCGACAGAAACCCTAAAGCGAGAGACAACCGATAGAGCTAAATTGAGATACTAAGACTAGATTAACTAAGACATATGATAAATAGGTAGACAAATATATCATCCAAACCGGAGCAATCCAAGAGGTCGAATGTACTGATGCAGCCTTGAACGACGCCGACGTAGACGAGACAATTGTCTGGGCCGGCGGAACGTAGGACTTACCCTTTCACCGGAGATCGAACTGAACCGATACATCTCTGCATCAGGTGCCAAATTCCACCGGTTGATAAGTAAAAACCTCAGAAAAGAGGGTGGCGATACGCCGAAAGTAGTTGTATTGATTGAGAGATAATTTACAATGACCCCGGGTGTACATATTTATACCCATGGGGAGATACTAGTCCTTGTAGGACAAGAAAGGAACTTTCCTAAAGATAAAAGGAAAACAACAAACTATTCCTAATTAATAGATAACTTGCCATGCCGCATCACTCGGTCACTTCTGGATAAGCTTCCTTTAATAGATTAATTTCCTTAACCGAATATAGCAGGAATCCGACTATTGGCGATGTTATAATTCTCTTAGGGGCTTACCAAATTTTGGCGTTAACAGAGACGTATGGATAGAACCTTTGAGATTATTTTCGGGATGCCGTGGATCAACCTTATGGGGCTGTAGTCGGCAAGCGAGTCGATGCCTTCTTTTTTTGGCAGTAGTACCACATTTTCCGTGTTTAGGATCCCTAGGGTGTTATTTGTTTGGTTTCCAATAGCGCGGATGGCTGCTACGAGGTCGTGCTTAATATCTTCCCAGTAGTGCTTGTAGAAAGCACCGGTGAAGCCATTGGAGCTTTGTCACATGACATCTGTTTTATTGTGGCCAGGACTTCTTCCTCTGTGATTTTGGCTACCAAAGCTTGTAGGTCAAGCTGCTGCATGGTTAGGTCCTCCCAGTTGAGGTCCATTGATCACGGCGGCTGCCTGGACATGATCTATGAGAAGTGATCAGTGAGCCTTAACACAATCATATCCACCAAAAGCATTGAACCTCACCACCTATTCACCCAAGATAATCTGAATCACAGTTTGAGTATCTTTTGCATCTAGTATGTAAAAGAGATTCCTGAAATGACATGCACATTGACTGTACAGCTAAAAAAATGATTATCATACCAATATATGAAATTTATATATTGTCCCATACATGTAACTTATTATGTGCTTTATTTTGCATTTCTTGCCAAACAAGGTCTAGTATGTAAATAATCATAATGGGAATACCCATTTTAAGCTAGTTGAAATTTTGACCATTGGATCTAAAACATGTGGCTTGCTTGCTTTGCACTACTACTATATATTTCACCCGCTTGCTCTCCAAAAAAAAAAAAACCCTAGCCTCAGGCACGGCGCCGCCAAACACCACCTCCCCCTCTCCACTGTCTCCTCTTTCTCTTCTACCATACTTCCCCCGCCTCTCTTACTCATGATATCTAGCTCTAACATTTGTTGTTTGGCCTGTATTTAGACACCTTTGCCACCCTATTGCGAAGAACTCAAATCTATAGGTACAAAGGGATGAAGGGAAAATTTTTGTTCTAGATCCAAAGAAGCAGCATATAGTAATACTCATTAGGATCAAAGATCAATGTCTGGAAACATATCTCCTTCCCGATTGTTACCATTGACATCACCTTCCAATGATGTGTCATCACCATGCTATTCCCCACCAAAGCTGATTTCACCGAAATCACAAGTGAGCTCACCAGGTAATTTCCTTTGGCTCAAAGTATATCATTTCATTATTCATAAAACTCAGCATGGTTGAATTCGTATGACTTGCATTTTCTAAGGCATTGCCATCTAAATTGAAATCCACAGATATAGTGGAGTACATCACACCTAGCATCCACAAGCAGGAAGGAGTTGCCCCATTCAAACCCTTAGATCCGATGCCATATGTCCCACCTCAGGTTAGGCGAAGGCTAGCCCCAGCCCCATTGAAACCCTCAGATCTGATGCCCATCGCCGCATCTCGGATCTATCAACAAGAAGGAGTTGCCCCAGTTGCAACCCTCAGATATTTTTCCAAGCGTCGCATCCCAGATCTCATTGGATCTAGATGGTAAGAAGAGTTTTACATCCTCTTTTCTATGTTCCTATTTTAGGGATATTCCCTTTTTTTATTTCTTCACTGAATTGCATATATATTTGATTTCTATTGATCAAGTAACACTATATTCTTTGTGGAGTTCTTTTTCTAGAATATTTCATAAGAGCTGTATATTGAAGGAAAGCTAAATAAGTGTACAGATTATGGTTCATGAATTAGACACATCTAAGAACAAAAGATAGCCTTGTCAAGCACCCAAAAATATATATAGTTTTCTAGAAAATTCTTCAACTAGTGGTAAGAAGAAACATATCGGGTAGAAACTTCATATAATTCTATGCTGTCACACTACCAATTGGTTATTATTTATTAGTCGTAGAGTAGTTAATAATGCCTTTTGACGAGCAAACAACAATGATGATACGAACGAATAGAAACATTGTCAGTCAGTTTTTATGGGTTGTGATGTTCAAGAGAAACAATAGAGAAAAATTGGTGCTGAAACATCAACTTGTTTTTTTTATGTACCATTATAGTACTGTAGAACATAATTACTCCTCCAACCCCAAAAAGAAAAAAAAATCCAACGTTGGCGAGGATGATACATCACCTAGGATAACGAATCTTGATGACTGTAGTGTGATAAGGGCATTCAAGGTTACCTGTTCATTTTAACAATAAGCTGGTAGGTTATTGGTCCACATTAACAATATTGCAATAACTTCACTTTTAATTTTGTCAATGGAGTTAAAATGTAAAACCACACACATAATACCTATATCCCAAAATAATTGTATTTGTAGGATTCATAATTTGTCCCAAAGTAGTTATCACTCTAGAGTACAAATTATTCCATCAATCATCTCTCATTCAAATTTCTCACTATTCCACCCTCAATCACCCTCACACTCTCACCTATACACCATTTAACGAAGGGTATCATAGTTTTTCTTCTTAAACCTTAATATATGCTAAACAATCTAGAATTAAAATTATTTCGGGACAGAGGTAGCACTTATATAATGAAATTGAGGGACTAGATAGCCGAGTGAAAAAAAAAACTAAAATTGCCAAGGGGAACACAAACTAGTACCAGCCAATGTATTGGCTTGTTAACTTTGGTACGTAATCCTAGAAAACCATGCACTACAAAACTCGCTGGGAACATTTATATGGTTTCTGTTAAGTTACTTGATTTTTTTAAAAAAAATTCATATAAGAGAGAGCTTACTTGTTTATGTTAGGAACAACAGTAATCAGGAACTGTCCTAGAAAGATACTGTACAACAGCTAAAATGGCCATGAAAAGTAATACTCGTATTCACATAATCAGACCGAACGAATGAACAAGAAGAAATATTAATGCGAGGGCATGAAGATATCCTAGAAAGATTCCTTTACTAATGCAGTCCATCCCCTTCTGTTTGATGCCCAGTTGTAAACTAATATCACTCATGTTTTACGGTAAACCAAACAAAAGTTTAGGAAAATTCGAATATAATTATTGTAGATTGAAATATTTGAGGGTAAGTTTGTTCATTGAAATTGGGTCATCTTGAGCAGCAGGAAAATATGAGTCGACAGTGATAGTTCTGGGATGGGAAAGAGATGAGTTAAGGCTTGCATCACTGATTGAATGCCATGGTAGTCGTTTTCAAAATTTTTCAATCCAACTATATCTGGAACAACCACAATGACCATCGCTGCATAAGAATATTAGCCTTTTGCGTTCTTTTCCAGTTTTGCTCTGCATAAAAATATGAAAATAATATCATGTAATATACTTTTGGATTCAAAATTGGTGCCTGATGTCGTGGAGCATATCTCTAGAAATTGGCTTTGCATTTTTTCCACAAGGCAAAAGAAATTGTATTGATTGAGAAATGACACTTGTTTTGAATAGCACAAAATCGTTGATATTACAGTTAATATGAATTGCACTTGTTCTTTGATTGACTTTAGGGTGCCGATAAAGAGACCAAAGTACGTCTGTGATGCTTCGTCAAGGACTGAGGAGTCTTCTGCCAAATAGCAGTTGAAGCATTCAACAAAGCGCCAATCTAATTTAAAGCTTGGTAGAGATGGAGTGCCAATCATTTCATACATCGTTTATGTCTACTTTGTGAACATGTATCATTTTTAGTTGTTATATCTTGTTTATGAACTCAAAAACAGTTTGCTTGGTTAAGCGCATAACTCTGTCATTTAGTTTTATATCGGTTTTCTGATCCAAAAATATGATGGGTGTTTAAACAAACAATAATGAATATTGTCTTTGTGGATGTCCTGATTTAAGTATCTACAGTTATTGTTTTCTGAAGTTGAACGTGTTCTGGTGTTGAGCTTACCTGAAGAAGCCATGTGAGAAGAAGCTTGGTGTCGTCAGTGGCGTTTAGCTGCAGAAACCTATCTTTGTTTTTGCTGTTGTAGAAGTGGAACATGCAGATTACAGCCAGCTGGAGCAGTACTTCAGAAGATCTGTATTGTAGAACTTGATTCTTACATGAAAAAAGATAAGGCATTGTGGATTGATGGTTTGTCATTATGGTGTGATGAAACATACATAATCATGTGCTGTCTTCCATTTTTCTCGCTTGTTCTGTTATTGTCTTCCCCTGATTTATTCTGTTGTTATGTTGTGGCCGGTGACACTCTCTCTATCTGCAGAGGGAGATCGCTCGAGTCCAGTTAAGCCACGTACCATGATCAGGACGTGCGTAATTAGGAGGCTTTGTGGACGTGATTTATTTTCTAGTTTCGTTTACAATGCAGTGAGGAGGATCAGAAAGGCTTTGAGCCAAAAAGTGCATGATTCATCTTCTTTAAAATTGACTTTCGAAAGGCCTTTCAAATTGATGGCATGGGATTGCATTTTGCAGAACTATCTAATTACTCTATCTATCCCCTTAGTATTTCTTTCTCCCTCTTCTGCTGGTGTGGAACATGATGGTGTGGAACATGCCCCTGGAAATTGGCATTGCATATATTTTTTTCCACTAGCCAAAACAAATGGATAGAACCAAATTGGTGATCTTATTGTTTTTATTAATTCCACTGTGCTTTGATTAACTTTCGGGCGATTATGAGGAAAATGAAAGGCGCAAGGGATACTTGATGGCTCAAGGATATATGGAAACAGAGAAATGGAAAGATTTTTCAAAATATTTTGCTAGATGTGGACTGCTGGTTTCAAAAATTTAAGAATGAAGTTCTCATTCATATGTGTAGAATGAATGAGCCTCTTAAACAATTTGTTTTTCGATTGGTTACGATATTTATAATTTTGATATTCCTATTCCTGCTATAAATAATCTCTTTCTTATAATATATAACTATTGGGCAATGGCCTGGTAGTATTTCCAGTAAAAAAGAGAGAGAGAAGGCATAATGCATGATGGATTGATGGTTTCTCACATTGGTGGATGCAGAAAAATTTTATAGTCCAGGTAAATCTTAGTTGCTAAGAAAACCATAATCAATCATACATTAGGATAAAATTCCTTTGAGCATGTGCCAACGAGCCTAGGCGGCTGCCCGAGATCACCGGATGGTGGCTTCACCATTTGTTTCTCATCATGGTGGATATTTCTTATTTTTGTTGCTTTTCCTTTTTTTTATCCGTTATAGTAGCTTTCTCTGTTTTTCACCTTTCCCCGTATTTACTCTGTTTTTTGAGCCGAGCAAGTCATCTGCTCTCTATGCAAATCGAGGTTGCCTGTGGCTAGTGGAGTTGCACAGTGCACACCACAAAAAGGATGCCCAAGTTGCCCAACACATAAATACTGCCCATGGCATTGTAATTAGCAAGGATTTAAATCTCCGGCTATAGCTACCGCTATAGTCGGAGATAGCTGCTAGCAAAGGCAACAGCTAAGAAATGCCACTTTTGCTGCTACATAATATATGACGCTAATAGCTTAGCTTAACGGGAGATAGCTGCTAATTTAGCCTTCAGTTAGCGGCAGCTAAGCTTTGGCTTTGGGCTGAAATTAGCTATGGGCCAAGGCCCATCTACTTCTCCTGTAAAGGAGTAACCCTAGCCCTACGTCGTCTCTCTCTTCCTCAGTCTCAGCCTTCTCCTCTACAGGCGACAGTAGCGGCTGCGACTTGCAGCTGCGCCCGGAGACGGCGGCGGCTACAGCTTCGCCCGGAAGCGACGGCTGCGGTTGCGCGTGGCGGCGGCTATGACTGTGGCCTCGCCCAGAGGCGGCGGCTGCGACCAAAGGCAACGGCTGTGATGGCGGCGGCCCACTCCTCCTCTCCCCCAAGCGTCCCCAAGCGTCACTGTTCCTGATCTCCCACAAGCGGCACAGGCAAGCTTTTCTCTGATTCAATGAACTATTTATCATGTCCCTGTGATGAAATGTGATGTCAAGAAAATTCAGTACAATTATCAAGTGGTGAACTATTTATTTTGTTCCTGTGATGACATATTTATTCTGTGAGGCTGTGACTCATATCCATTTTTTGCAAAACAGCTAAATGGCTAAGGGCTATAGCTGATCATAGCTGTTGAAAGCCCAAGCAGCTAAAGGCCTTAGCCAGCGATTTAAATCATTGGTAATTAGGTGGCTTCAGTGGCCTCGTTTTGTTTGCTATCTCCTTTATATCGCAATGAGAATTATCACAAAAGCTACATCAATTCCGCGGTGTAAAAGTGTTGTTCATCTTCCTCATTTTCCTAGTGTTCCAAGCTCATGCGAGTAGTCGGTTTAAGTTAGACGTTTTGGTGCCAAATCCACAATTTCATTTTGATTGGCATAGTTTAGACAATACCATTACAAAGGTACGCGAGTTACAAAATACCATCATATATATAAGAATGACATGTGGGGTATGGACCATTGGACACATACGATGATATTTGTCAACTTTATAATTTGTGATGACATCATATAAAATGGAGATACTAGAATAGTAGAATGAGAAATTTGCTCCTTTGCTAGATAGTTGGGAGGGCAATTTGCTGTTTTGCTATGAAGTAGATTGCCATTGCTAAAATGCAACGAACTTCATAAGGGTATTGGCAGAGTTGCCACAATACCAAAGGAAGTTACATATTTGCCCCCTTCTTCTAACACGCCCATTCCCCCTCCTTGTGGTTGTGAATGAATACAAGCATGCAAGCACAAGTGGCAGTGGCGGTTCCTAGCATGTGCACGGGTGGTTGTTGTGAAGCAGTTTGTGGATGTGTGTGCAAACAGTGATGCCAAGTTGCAAGACGAGACAATATATTTACTTCATAGCTAGGGGAGGGAGAAGAGAGCAATTTGGTCTTCTTTTTTGGCTAAATCTGTTATATGTGGCAAAAGAGAAAAAAATCCACTCAACTACAGGGCATTTTAACAAATCAACCTAACTTGCAACAAAAAAGATGAGAAACTCTATCTATGTGGCAAAGGAGCAATTTTACAGAACTGGACCTCGAAAGTGACCAACAGCCATCGTGAGGTTTCCGATACAACGATTGGTTTTCTTTGAATTGTTTTTACTTTTTATCGGAACATTTACAAGAGATCTATATCAAACCCACCAAAACCAGCCATTGTTTCATAATCCATAATTCCTTTCACCAAAAAAGTGTAAACTTTAATAACAAAGTTAATTAGCTATGGACTAATTATTCCCAACATTATATGTGTTTATGTGCTACAAGTTTACTATACTGCATTCCCAATGTTATGTCTGTTTATATGCTATTCCCTCCATTTCAAAATATAAGGATTTCTAGGATTCAAATTTTGTACCACAATATAAGCATTCCATTTCAATATTATGTCCGTTAATGATTCCAAAGTCAATCAAATGCTTCGAAAGGGAATCTAACTAATTCAAAAATTCAAAAATTGACAACTGAAATGATCAAAAGAGAATCCTTTACTTAACCATTGTGTTTTCTAAACATATTAGATAACCTTATATTTTTGAACAGAGGGAATACAAATTTACTACACTATACTCCCCCGGATGCATACAATAAGATGTTTTTGGTCTGTACTAAGCCAAAAACTGCTTCAAGAAGTTTATAGAAAAACATAGCAACATTTCCAACAAAAAATAAATATATTCTCAATATACATTCCATGATGAATGTGATGAAATTAAGTTGAAGAAGTTTGACGCAGCACAAATCCAAACGTCTTACAATATTACAAGAGTATATGGCCTCAAAATCAAAACATAAGAAACTAATCGATTAGCTAGTTATAGGAAGAATGCTAAAAAGACAATAGAGAGATCGATGACAATCTTATTACCATACCAAGCAAGTTCTTACTACTTGATTGCTACCTGCCACGAATCAAGCATAAGCCGCCCAATACAATGGTAGTGGCTGCCGGTCGCAGCAGCAGCCCACTTCTGGGTTGTACCTAGCTATATGGTGCATGTGCGAGTCTTGGCACTAGCGCTGCTTTGTTGCTTGCATGATGTGGTAGTCAAGGTACAAGAGAGCGCACCCTAGTAGGATAATCCTAGAATACTTGTTGATGCAAAAAAACACACACTGACCTAGGAGATCTGTTTAGCTCCAGTGCAGGTCCAAAGGTTGATGAGATGCGGGCGTGCCAGTCAGTTTGACCCTGCAACTGACAAGATATACAAATAGCAGATCAATGAGCCGATCGGCTGACAAGCCGATAGATTAATTCCAGCCGATGCCGATACCAGCCGATAGCGATAGAGTTTTGAGCTATCGGCTATAATTCTAATGTAGATTCTGACGCTTGATGTAAATAGCAATATAAAGGCAATAGGCTAATGATAATGCAAGAAAGCAACAATATAATCCAATATAAACCAATCGGCTAGCAATGACATGATAGAATAAGCACTGATCCGAAGGTTAAAGCATATATCGGCTGGAGGTCCGATGTCATTAAATTCACAAGATTAGATAAACAGTAAAATCTTTGTTGTGATCGGCTAAATCCAATATGTATGAAATCCTTGTAAGCCGATGGAACGTCTAGATAACTCAATGGCTGAAACCCTGATGAAACCCTTATTGGCAATCAAGAAACAGGCTAGAGATTATGGTTCTAAGCACGACTTAGTAGATCAAACTTAACTGATGCAGCACAAAGTATGAAAAGATACATAATATCTAGACAATCAACTCGTTGACTGATTTTCAGGGTGGTAGATGCCTTAGCTAATCTAATCTAGCAACACGATTTAGCCGATACCGGCATAAACCCTAAAACGAGAAGCAACCGATAGAGCTAAATTGATATGCTAAGACTAGATTAATAAAGGCATATGATAAATAGGTAGGCAAATATATCATCCAAACCAGAGCAATCCAAGAGGTCGGATGTACTGATGCAGCCTTGAACGACGCCGACGTAGATGAGACAATTGCCTGGGCCGGCGGAACTTACCCCTTCGCCGGAGATCGAACTGAACCGATGCAGCCCCGTTTCAGGTGCTAAGTTCTGCCTGTTGGTAAGTAAAAACCTCGGGAAAGAGGGTGGTGATGCGCCGAGAGTAGTTGTATTGATCAAGGGATGTTACAATGACCCCGGGTGCACATATTTATACCATGGGGAGATATTTGTCCTTATAGGACAAGAAAGAAACTTTCCTAAAGATAAAAGGAAAACATAAAGTCCTTATAGGACACTAAACACACTTTCCTAAACATAAAAGGAAACTAACAAACTATTTTTAATTAATAGATAACTTGCCATGCCGTATCCTCCTTGAACTCGGTCACTTCTGGATAAGCTTCTTTTAATAGATTAATTTTCTTAACCGAATATAGCAGGAATCCGACTATTGGCGATGTGATAATTCTCTTAGGAGGCTACCAAATTTCACCGTTAACAATACTGCATGGTGAAATGTTTTAGTGATAATTCTATGCACTTGCATATTATCAAAATTTGTCACGCTTAGGAATGCCAACACCTATTCACCTAAGAAAAACTCAATCACAGTTGGTCTGGCCAATCTCCAGTACATGCGTCTAGTATTTAAAATGGATTCTCATAGCGATAATGGAATTTCTACAACAATCGCAAACCCCCCAAATAAAATCTGAGGATAAAGCTCAGAATAAAAACAATTGCTGTAATCTTACTTTCGGTATTGACTATGATGGTTAACCAAATAATCCAAAAATTTTGCTGACACCTTTGAATCATTATATGCTTCACAAGTGGTGAACTGAATCTCTTGTCCTTTTAATCCATAATCATGGGCAAACACATAAATTTAGTTATGAAAGAGTAGTGGGTAGATAAAATTTGGCCCATATCAATATATTACATTTTATATACCGGCCCATATGTGTAACTTACTGTGTGCTCCACTTAGTATATCAAGCCAAATAAAGGCCCATCAAATAAATGGCAATGTGATATCCATTTTAAGTTGGTTGAAATTTTGGCCGTAGATGTCAATCATACGGTTTCCTCCTGTGCACTATTTCTATATATTACATCACTTGCTCTCTAGAAGTCCTAACCCTAGCCCCGGTGCCGCTCCACTCCGCGCCTCCTCCTCCTTCTCTTCTACCCAATCTTTCCTCTCCTCTCTTACCCACCATTTCAGGATCTATTGTAGCATCTCTATCTCTGCCAGTTGTTCCAGTAGGTGTTTTGCCACCATTGCTGCTTTATTATGAGGTAGAACCAATATCTATGGCGGTAGAGGGAGTAACGGGGAAATTTTGACCCAGATCCAAAGAAGCAGCATATTCTTGTACCTGTTAGCATCAAAGTTTAATGTCTGAAAGTAGATCTCCTAGCTGGTTGTCACCACCAACTACGCCTTCATATAATCTGCCCTCTCCAAGCTATCCTTGATCAACGTTTATTTCTCCGATAGCACAACTAGGCTCACCAGGTAATTCTCTTTGGTTCAGAGTGTATCTTTTTTAGTTCTTAAAGTCTGACATTGTCGGATTAAAATGACTTGTACATTCTAAGACATCACCATCTAAAATTCCAGAGTCACCGTTGTATGACTCGATGAGGGGATCGTCGTACTCACCCCCATATTCTCCAACATGACCAGCATATTACTCTGATTCATCTATGTACTCACCAGCCAGTTGGAGCAGTTCTCCTATATCTACATTGTATCCACTGGAGTCACCAATGGAGAGTCCAATGCAGCAGTCGGGAAATGATAGTGCTGGTTGGCAGTACACAATGGACTCCCCTATCTACTCTGCAGCACCATCAACTGAATATGATCCACTCTCACCACCTTATGATCCAACAAGAGTGATCTATGGGATGGAAGGATTAGCCCCATTACGATCCTCCAATTTGGAAGAGCACAACACTCAGATCCACAGGTGCACATCAATCTCAAATCTGATGCAAGCCACATATCTATTACCCTCAATCACACATCATGTGTGTCGACCAAAAGGAGTTGCATCGTCGCAACAATCAAATCCTATGCCGTATGACACACCTTGGATATATCGTCAGAAAAGCGCAAAACAAATCTTAGATCCGGTGTCACATATTCCATTCAGTTCATTTGGGATCTCTTTCTTAGAAGAATTTGCTACATCGCAACCCTCAGATTCGATGTCGCAAAGGCACATTAAAGCACCTCTGATATGTTGCCTAGAAGAACAATTTACTACGCGGCAACCCTCAGATGTCTCAACCCAACAACTACCTGAATCAGAAGGGCTTGCCTTTTTTTTTGTAGAACCTTTAGATGATCAGCAATCAGGGCACACAAAGATGCCAGACTACTCATCATCCCCTTCTCACTCTCCAAATCAAATCTCCCAACAAAAACCATTCTGTTCGCAGGAAAAAAAAAGGAGTACAAACTTAACAAGAACAAAGTTAATTAGCTGTTGACTAATTATTTCCAACATTTTGGGTTATATGTGCTACAAGATTCCTATACTATACAACAGGAGATGATCAGATTTCAAAAAAAAAAAAAAACAGAAAGAGAAATGACCTGTAAATCTTACAATTAGAACTCGGCAACCACTCATCACTCAGAATGACAAACAGACAACGGGGAGATTTGTGACAATCTGACGATCTCACCAAGCACTTGGTATCGTTTGTTTGTTACTCCACCAATCAAGGTTTCAAGCATAAGCCGCCCTGCCGCGGCCGCCGCCCTGTGGTGGCGGTGGCGGTGTCCGGTCGCCGCTGCAGCTCGACTCTGGGCTATACCCAGCTCTATGGAGTGGCGCGCGGCCGCCGGCTCCGCCGCTGCAGTTGTTGTTCGTGCTCCAGCCTGAGGTGGCCGTCGAGGCACCGGCGAGCGCCACCGAGCTGGACCGGCTCCGGGCGTGCGACTGCGCCGCCCTCGGGGCGACATGGGCGGACGCGGGCGCCATGCGGGCCTTGGCGCGCGCGGACTGCGTCGCCGCCATGTACCCCGGGACAGCCGGAGGGCGCACCGGGTAGAGGTCCTTGGCGGGGCACAGCTTCCTCCCGGCGTCCATCTCCACGGTCTTCTCCGACACCCCGTCCGTGGCCGCCGCCGTCACGTACGACGTCTCCGCCGCGGCGGCGACGACAACGTGGTGCTCCGGGACGTGGCGCGGCGGCTGGACACCGGCCATGCATTGCTCCAGCCACTGCCAACCAACGGTGCACTCGTCTTGCTCCTCCCGCTGTAGCTGTAACGCGTTCATCCATCGACGCGCTCAGAATAGAAACATCGATCATTTTTGCTCGCCATTGTTGTCACAAAAGAAGAAAATGGAAATGAAGCATATAAGCACGCACCTGCTGCTGGTAACCATACGTGGAGGTCGGGATCGGGGCCATCTCGCGCCGAGGCCCCGGGTCGTGCCGGCGGCGGCCTTCGCCGTAGGGGACGGCGTCCCGCCAACCGCTGTTGAAAGGAGGGCGCTCGTCGACGATGTGGCTGCTGTTCCTCCTTGGTCGCGCGACCATGTGCGGCATCGTCGTCTCCGTCTCGCCGGCGTCGTCCTCGTCGCCGTCGTTCTGCTGGTCCGGCGCCACGAAGCGGCCGCGGTGGCCGCACGAGTACTGCAGACCGGCGGCGTGCGGGGCTGGGCGGGCGAGGGCGACATGGGAGGTGAGGCGGCGGGCGCGGACGCGGGCCTGCGCGCGGACGAGCGCCTGCATGCAGCGCATGGTGAGGTGGACCTGTCGCCGCACCTGGTGGCCGCGGACCAGCGCCTGCAGCCGCACCAGCCCACGCAGAGCGCGCAGGGCTCTCCTCGCCTGACCACACATGTCGTAAACCTCTCCCGGTTAGGAGTAGTGACCGGAAAAAAAAAACTACTATATTCAACCTTAGTACAGGTATATTTGCTCCTTTATGTCACATGTAAAATGGTAAAATAAGTTAATACTACTAGCATATATATTGCCATTTTAGCATCTCGCTATATAAACGTGCAAAACTAAATTCAATCTATTCTACCTCCGTCCTTCAATGATCCTCCAAAATTATACATGTCAAAAACCCTATGAAAGAACCCTACTAAAATATGATCTTCATTAGTAGGGGTTCTTGTACAAAATACCCTGTCTACACATGGCCCCTGTTCCCGATAATTAAGCCATGTCAAAAACTCTATAATTACATATGAAGCATGTTACAATTGCTCATATGGATAGCTGTCGTTGTACATACACAACTGATCATATTGGCCCAGCTTTTTGTTTGTGAACCTACACATAATAACAATAGGATCCACTTATATGGATTTCCCAAAGTATGGATCAAATTATTAGTTTCAGCTACACATATGGATATATGTGTCTGGAAAACACATGGTCGATGTTTAACTGAACGATTATGCATAACTATGGGCGCCTAATTACCAGCCAGCATGGCGTATGCTGTACGTGTACGGCTGTACCGGGAATTAGATGGTGTAATCGGTTAATTAACTTCATCACTGGGGGTACTTTGTGATTGTGCCTACCTGTACGGCCGACGATATGATGTGATAGGATTATATGTCTAATTAATTTCTTCCTGATCGCCACCTTTTGTACAGATTATTGGCACATCTTCGATCGCAAGCAATCGTGATCTGCCTTCCCTCAAATTAAGCAACTGATCCTAACAGGGCGAGGGCTGTATTTTAGTACTGTAGAAAGTACACTACCAACATGACACTACGGTTGTTCTCAATGACATCCAGCTATACTGTTGCTAACAGTAGTACTTTGTTCAAATAAAAGATTGTTTGCTAACCACACTCATGCAAGGTGCCAGTGCCATGGACCAAAGGTCTAACAGTGTTGACATATTTTTTATTTTTCTGAACTAATCAATGGGGAAAAGAACTTCAATACCGGCCTACTACCAAAATTTATCATATACCCCTCCATCCTAATAAGTCAATTGTTATACACGAATCCGTCCATAGCATATATCTCCATATTCTTGTAAAAAATAATTTATTTTCGACTTGAGGAAGTATTATCTATCCATTCTGAATTAGAGGGTAAATATATGTTTCTTTGGGTAACCACAGCAAATTCTAATAGAAATTTAAAAAGTAAATTTTACAAAACTATCGATATTTTAACCAAATTATTACAAAACTATAGATTTAAGTTGTTCTATCATAAAACTATAAATTTAGTGTCAATTTTATCATAAAACTATAGATTTAAGGCTAGGTATCACAAAAGTATAGATTTAATATTGAAGTTTGATCACAAAACCATATTTTTTTAAAGTTTAAATCCCGATTCAATCATTATGTTAGAGTTATAGACATTATAGTTTTGTGATCAAATTATTACTATACATGTAGTTTTGTGATAAATTTGTTATTTAATGTGTAGTTTTGTGATACTCCATTGTATCTGTTTGCAAAATTAAACCATTAAATTTATACATCAAGACTAAAGAGATATACACTACTCCTACATTTTTATATTTTTGGAATTACGAAATAGCCGACTAAGGAGCTGTACCTGTACGTATATATAATCGTGTATATATACGAATGAAATTAAATAGCTGGGGGTGCGTACCAAGTATCCTCTGTAGAACGCCTGGATGCGCACGGCGGCGCGCTCCTCCCTGCCGGCCGCCCTCCCGCGCGCGGCCGCGTTCCTCACCGCCCTCGACGCCGCCATGCCGCGGCGGGCCCTCCAGGCGCCCTCCGCCTCGTCACGGCCGACGTGCAGCCGCTCCCTGCCGAAGGCGGATCCGCCGCTTCCTTCATTCGTCGTCACCTCCGGCGACGTCTCGGCGGCCGGGAAGTGCTCCATCGAGAGTATCTCCACCGCCTGGCCGACGCCGCCGCCGCCTCCTCCCGCAGCATTCTCGTCTCCTCCCCTCTGCTATTCCACCGATCAAATACATCCATTACCGAAAGCTACCAGGACAGAGAGGCCGAGAAAGAAACGAACCATGAAGGCATGAAAAGAGCATGGACCTTCTTGGCGAGGCGAGGGTCCTTGGAGGTCCCCGGCTTGAAGACCTTCCTGACGGTGGCCAGCCAGCCGGCGCCGGCGCCGGCGCCGCCGGGCTTCTTGCCCATGTACGACGAGGAGAACGTATGCACTAGGACTGCATGGATTGATGCCGCTAGCTAGCTTCTCTGTTTGGATCGCGCGATCAATGCAGGTGAGGAGGAGGGAACGATGGGAGGTGTGGGGTGGTGGTGGTCGGTGGAAGGGCAATAATAAGTGCAGCGGCGTGAGGCCGCGAGAGTGTCCGTGAGCGAGCCGGTGCGGCTTCGGCTTTACCGTACGCATGGCAACCGCCACGCCACGCCGTCACGGGAGACGCGCGCGCGCACTTCGGAGTTCAGAGGGTGAGAGCGCTGCACTGTCGAGTGTCTGACATTGATCGAGGTTTGCTGTTCAACTTAATAGATTTTTTTATTCCCCGAAACCAGCCGGAGGTTGCCAGCGTTTCTCTTAACAAGAAGTTGTCTCGTATATTAAGAAGAAATGAGAGCAAATCTTATGAGGGAAAACTGGAAGAAAATCATGACTACATAGACTTTCAAGACTAAACTTCCGGCCACGAGACAACTAGTGGCAACGGGGGTTGCCCCATCTCTTGTCAGGTGAGGATAACTATTGACACCAGAACGGATACCCTCATCTCAATCGGGCATGGCGTCCGTCACAGGCTAGAAGTCACTGATGTGAAGAGCTATCTCAATCGGGCAAACGGCGTCACGGATGATTCTATCTCAATCGGGCCCTAAGTAAAGCCCGTCACCGATAGCTTTGACCCAGACGACCAGTCAAACTATAGCCCGTCACAGATGACCTATCTCAATCGGGCCACAACTAGCGCCCGTCACAGATGACCCTTATCTGTGACGGGCATTAACTATAGCCCGTCAAGTTCAAACTTCCCAGTCGGTCACCCATCCCGAAATTGCTCTAGACCAAGCACACTTAACGTCAAAGTTCTTTAGAGATTGGCTTCCGGAAAAGTAATTGTAACATGTTGGAATGAGTATTCTATTAATCCTATTATGCCCTAGGCCAGGATGTCAAATTGGTGTTATTAAATGATTTCAAATGGAAAAGTCACCAAAATCAAAGTTGTAGAACTCATCGAGGTGCAAAATTTTTATTTTGGTCATTTCTCCATCTGACTCTATTTAAACAATTTGAAATTTGAAATTCAAAGTTTAAAAAGTTCAAATAGAATTTTAGATCAGTGAACGACTTCAACTGAAAAAGTCATCAACAACAAAGTTGTATAACTCATCAAAATCTATAACTTTTATTTTGGTCATTTTTCTATATAATATTTTTTGAACCGTTTGAATTTGAATTTGAAAATATGACAACTTCAAACAACATTTTCACATACTAAATGATATCAACTAAAAAGTCATCAACAACAAAGTTGAATAACTCATCAAGATCTAAAACTTTTATTTTGGTCATTTCTTCATACGACAAAGTGATAGTAACATTGTTCACAAAATTGACATATCTCTTATCTGGTTTTTTATAAACTATAGCACATATATGTAAAATTTATGAATAATATTACTAACATTTCGTCAGATGAAGAAATAACAAAAATAAAAGTTTTAGATCTTGATGAGTTATTCAACTTTGTTGTTGATGACTTTTTCAATTGAAATCATTTAGTATTTGAAAATATTGTTTGAAGTTGTCATATTTTTAAATTCAAATTCAAACTGTTCAAAAAAATGTTATATTGAAAGATGACCAAACTAAAAGTTGTAAATATTGATAAGTTATACAACTTTGTTGTTGACATTTTTTCCATTTGAAATCATTTACTACCCGTAAAATTATTTTGCTATAGTCAACTTACAAATATAAACATTTCATATGAAAAATGGAAAAATAGTCATCGGTGACAGGCTTTAGTTAATGCCCGATAGAGATTAAGTATATAGCCCGTCACTGATGAGTCATCTGTGACGGGTCTAGTTGTTATCTCCAACGAGCCTCAAGTTGGTGCACGTCACAGATGATGGTCATCTGTGACGGGCCACAACTTGAGGCCCGTTTGAGATATGGAATGTTATCTCAAACGGGCCTAAAGTTGTGGCCCGTCACAGATGATGGTCATCTGTGACGGGCCACAACTTTAGGCCCGTTTGAGATACGGAATGTTATCTCAATCGGGCCTAAAGTTGTGGCCCGTCACAGATAGGTGTCATCCGTGACGGGCTTAAGTTTTATACCCATCTAACATGTCTGTGCGACCATATCTCAATCGGGCACTTTTCGGCCCGATTGAGATGACTTCCTTGTGACGGCCCGGTATTTCTAAGCATATTAGAGCCCGTCACAGATAGAAGGATCTGTACTAGTGTGATTTGGTGAAACTTGATGCAATACACAATTTGGTTTCCGATCAACAAGATTCAAACAACTCTGTAATTGTAGCACAACGTCACCTTATTAATCGTGCGCTATCCAATTGACCTCGCCAAGAAAGGTAACGTCGTAATCATCTGAAATTTTAACTACTAGTTTAACGTCATAAAACGTGTCCATGATGAATTGTAGGAGTTTGAAAAACTTGCCATGGATAAAATATTATTCATATGATTCTTATATGTTTAAATTTGGTATGATTTTAAACTCGTTGCCAAACCTGATCGTTTGAGTTGTGGCGAATTCTTTTTTGCTACCGTTATTGGGGAAACCTTATGCTAGAAAAATAACCCTATAACTTTAGTAGACAAATCTATAAGTTGTTAGGTTAATGACCAAAACTAATTTTGAAGCCACATCCATTTTTCTGAGAGTGCATCAGCACTAATATAAATTCAGCAACATAATTAAACAGTATGTCGACCAATGGTTCCCTTGCTCAAAAGGAACGTTGATATAAGAGATCAAGCCAACTCGATACCAAATAATCCACGAAGTTCTATCATGTTCCTCCTTTTAAGCTTGTAATCATAGTCGAAGCCTATTTGTTTATACTAAATTAAATGGTCAAGCGGTAGTTTAGAGACGTCGCAACATAGTCGTTAATCTTTCTCTTATTAGATAATCCACCCGATCACACATAGCAATTGGCTTGTAAAATTAGTAACAGTGATTGTGTGCTTGTGTACCTTTTTGTAGCAAAGTCCAATTGGGTTGATTGATCCTACATGTTTTTTCATCAGATACTACTCATCCTGCATATTTATTCCGCAGGATCCGAATCCAGATGTGCATAGTAGGGATTCATGGCTATAAGCTTATCTCCTACGCTTCAGGAATAGATCAGTCAGAACATCACCGCCGGCTTGCCTTCGTCGCCGCCAACTGGTGTCCTCGCCTATACGGTTGGTTGGCCTATTATGCCGCCGTTGATGGGCATCTACATCTTCACCGACCGACTTCCTCGTCTGCCGCCAACTGGTGTCCTCACCTTCATAGTTGGATGGTCACACCATCCTTGATGGGCGTCCACATCTTCATCGCCGGCATGCCTTCGCTACCGCCGACTGGTGTCTCCGCCTGCACGGTTGGCTTATTATGCCGTCATTGATGGGTGTCTACATCATCACCACCGGCTTGCCGTCGTCGCCATCGACTGGTGTCTTCACCTATACGGTTGGTTGGTCACACCACCATTGTTAGGCGTCTACGTCTTCACTGCCGGCCTGCCTTCGCCGCCGCCGATTGGCGTCTCCGCCTGCACGGTTGGCCTATTATGCCGTCATTGATGGGTGTCTACGTCATCACCACCAGCTTGCCGTCGTCGCCATCGACTGCTGTCTTCACCTATATGGTTGGTTGGTCACACCACCATTGTTAGGCGTCTACGTTTTCACCGCTGGCCTGCCTTCACCGCCGCCGACTGGTGTCTCCGTCTGCATGGTTGGCCTATTATGCCGCCGTTGATGGGTGTCTGCATCATCACCACCGACTTGCCGTCGTCGCTGCCGACTAATGTCTTTGCCTATACTGTTGGTTGGTCACACCACCATTGCTGGGTGTCTACGTCTTCACCGCCGGCCAGCCTTCGCCGCCACCGATCGGTGTCATTGCCTACACAGTTGGATGGTTACACCACCGTTATTGGGGGTCTACGTCTTCCCCACCGGTTTGCCGTTGTCGTCGCCGACTGGTGTGTTCGCCTGCACGGTTGGCTTATATGCCACTGTTGATGGGTGTCTATGTCATCACCACAGGCTTGCCGTCGTCTGCCGCTGACTGGTGTCTCCGCCTTCACGGTTTAATGGTCACACCACCGTCGTTGGGCGTCTATGTCTTCACCAACTGGCTGCCTTCGTCTGCCGCCGACTAGTGTCTCCGCCTTCATGGTTGGATGGTCACACCACCATTGTTGGGCATCTATATCTTCACCGACCGGCTGCCTTCGTCTACCGCCGACTGGTGTCTCCGCATTCATTGTTGGATGGTCACACTACCGTTGTTGGGCGTCTACGTCTTCTTCACCGACCGACCGCCTCGTCTGCTATCGATTGGTGTCTCCGCCTGGACGGCTGGCCTATTATGCCGCCATTGATGGGGATCTACGTCTTCACCATCAGCTTGCCGTCACCGCCGCCAACTGGTTTCCTCGCCTCCACGGCTGGTTGATCACACCACAATCGATGAGCGTCATCGTCTTCACTGCCAGCTCGTCTTCGCCGCCGTCCATGGAGTCTTCGCTTTCACGGCTGGCCTATTATACCGCTACTCAAGGACGTCTTCGTTTTCATCATTATTCTGCTTCCTCTATCGGCGACTGGTTTTGCCAACGCCGACTAGTGGTTTTATCTTCATGACTATGTGTCTTCGCCACCGGTTTGCTTCTGATGCCACTGATTCGTGTTCACATCATCATGGCTATGCAACTTTGTCACCATGGTGGAGTGACTTCATCTTCATTGTCTTCGGCACCGGCAAAACTCTATTGCCGCTACTTCTCAAGTTTTGCTACTTCACCAACCACGACGTCTACAAGAGCCTCAACATCTCGGCATGTGTCACCAGATTTGACGCCGCACTAATAACAAGTGGTTTTCCAATTTTCAAGATTTGTACTCGGATATCTTCAACGCATATCTTCATTCAAGAGATGGCTACTCGACGACAAGCTATAGTTCTTGACTCTATGTTCAGATGTTTCCCAACTAACCAAAGAGACAGGGGCTACACAAATATAAGACTCAAAATTCGACAAGCTTTATGTCAAGACAAAGCAATCAATCAGCCAACGAGTTCTATGGAATTTAGTTCGGGAGTTATTAGTTTCGTCTTTGCTTCAGAGCAGACGTTCTACTTCAGCAACTCTTATTATTTCATCGGCAATTTTGGCTTCTGGACACTGCCACAATCTACTTCAAGTTTTTCAAGTATCAAGTTCGAGATTTAATCTACATGTCTTGGTCAGATTCAGCTCTGCACTCGGGAGTTCAACTGGATGTGGTTTTGAGCTTCTCAAGTTCGATCAAATAGGGAGTTTGGAGTTATCAACTAATCAACTCAGATTCGATGAGTTGGACAACATCATTTACTAATCAACCAAGTGAAGCATCTACAACAGCTACAGCATTAAGTTTTATTGCCTTCTTCATAAATCAAGAGGCGTTGCATCAATTTTTGTCATGCACATGCCAACATTAAGAAAATACTTGAGCATGGATTTCTTCTCAACAGTTTAATGGATTATTGTTACTGACATCATCACCAGCACCTCTGCTTCATCGGTCGTGATGTCTCCACCGTTGCTAATGGGTGACTACGTCTTCGCCTCCGGTTACTTCCATCATTGCCGACTTGTTATTTCGCCTTCACGGTTGACCTACTGTGCAAACGCTGATGAGTGTCTTTGTCATTATCATCAACTGCTACACCGCTATTGACTGGATCACTGACATCGTCATCTTCACCAATATCCTGTCAAGCCTCTTCAACATAGCCTATTCTACTGCTATTGATGGGCAACTTCGTCATCATAGTCGATCATCTCTGTTGCTACTAATCATCATTTCCGACGGTTGCGTTTGTCGTCGCCGACTATGTTCTTCATCTTCCTGATTGGTGGATTTCGCCATCGCTGTTAATGGGCGTCTTCATCTTCTTCACCAGCTGCCTCGTTTGTCACCGACTGATTATTTCGCCACCATGGCTATACAACTCTATTGCTGTTGCTGGACGCCTTCATCTTCATTGCTGGCTGACCTGACTGCTGCCGACTGGTTTCTTCGCCTCCACGGCTGTGTGACTTCATCACCTTTGATTGGTGTCACTGTTTTTACTACCATTGACATTTTCATCACCTCTGATGGGCGATGTCATCCCCATGTTAGTCATCTCGTTTCCATGCCGACTGCATAAGCTACTGTCAATGGACAACTATGACTACAACAGAAGTACAGGCTACATGCTTAAGGGGCTCATCAACTCAAGTGCAAGGATCATACCTTCAATTTGGACTTGTTCCGGATACATGTAATATGAATTCATGATCATGAGTCAATTTCTTATGCTCAACGACTGGACTATTCATTATTCCCCACGAGGGCCATCAGCTGAGTATTTGCACCAGTCGGGATTTGATTATCATATCTACTTAGGTACAATCCGTGAGAGATAACCATTCGGATCAGAAGCTACTCAGATGAGATACACTTGATCCATATTACCGGGAGATTTGTCACTCGGGAGCATATTAATAGGCATGCTATACACGTCATATTTTAAGGGTATCGGTGGACATATTTTGAGCCTAGGCCTAATATGTCTGCAGCCCATATTCTCAGGTGTGGCCTGTCATGTTTTTTTAGGGATTTAGGCATTTTTTGCTTAGGCAAAAGTGCGCGTGATCAACAAGAACGGCCTAAAGTCCTGGTTTAATAATATTGTAAAGTAGATTTAGGAAACCGATACCGTATTGGTTAAGGTTTCTATCTTGTAATCCTACCCCCATCCTATATAGGGTGGGCAGGAGGTCCTCTAGGGGGCATATTCACAACCAGATCATCATATCAATACTACACTCGGCGGATTCAAATCCTCAAATAAGAGTAGAGTATTACCTCTTGTCAAGAGGGCCTGAACCTGTCTAAATCTTGTCTCCGCATCCATGCACTTTTAGGTCTCGTACGCTACGCCTTTATATTGCCGAAATCTTGTTTCGACAGTGGTGCACTCAAGCTTGAGTGTCGAGCTGCAACAGCAGCAGCCCCGACGGTAACAGTCAATCCTCGTCTCGTCATAGCTAGTAAGCCTCAGCGTTGACCCCTTCATCACCTCACTGTCGCGGAGCTCGAAGGAGCTAGGCGGCATTCCTCGCGCGACAACCCCACCGCTGGCTTCCCTATGGTGTGGCGGCGAGATCATAGCAGTTGGGCCAGATCGAAGCGACGAGGAGCAGTGGCAACATCGACCCCGACAACCCTTTCACCCTACCACCACCGCTACCTTGTCGAGCTAAAGTAAAAGTTTGGGAAGAAAATTTAGTCTGGCATGTAAGTCACACTTATCAAGATTTTTGATCATTAAAAAAAAGTACGGTACGAAAAAAACGATACAATTACATCGTGAGAAATATATACAGTAACATGGTTTTAATTTTACAAAATATAAAATACCAATGACACTGGACCAATATCTATCGCATGGGTTCCAATTAGGAAGGCAGGGGTTTTAGCTCCGCCTCCGCTCGTCGCCATGACCATCCCAATCCCCACTCCCGTCGTCTACCCCGAGATGGCCGGCTCTGCCTCCTCCCCGTACGTCGCGCCCCTCATCTCCTCCCGGATCACCGGTCGCCTCCGCCCCGCCTCGGCGCGGACGGATCCCCTCGGCCTAGCCGCCGCCGCCGCCGCTGTCAGAGTCCGTTCCTGGAGGCGCTTCGCGGGTGCCCGCTGCGAAGTCGCGCTCCTCCCGGCCCGGAGGATCAGCGCGCAGCCCCGTCGCCGGAACGCCCTGCGCGAGAAGGCATCGCCGCCGCTGCCAGCCGATCCGCAGGTGCGTGCTCAGTATGACGGTTCCCCGGAAACCGGGGTCGCGATACGACAAATAATCCTTCTTTTCTTGGTTGCATTGTAAAAAACATTCTTCTTGGTTGCCAGGTACTAGAAGAATCTGGTTCTTTGGATGTGCAGCGGCTGCCGGATCTTGATCGCGAGCCGGGAATTTCTGGTGGTCTGGATGCCGTTACAAGTGGAAATATTGTTTCGAAATGGAACTTGGAAGGTGGGAGTGATGTGGTTGGACTTGGAGTTGCACAGACTGGTCCTGGAATCGTTGGCAGGGGTGGCAATACAGAGGTACAAGGGCGCGGTGGCAATGTGGAGGAGGTTATGATCTCTCGTGCAGGAGCAATGGCTAATCAATTTGGAAGTGGTGAATGTGAGGTTCCAACGCTTAGCTCATCATTTCCGTTTCTCACAGTTGAGGCGAAGGAACCGCTGGTTGTAGATGCTCAGTTTTTGGCTGTGCAAATAGACAAGCCTCGTTTGAGGAGCATTGCATGGAGCGGTTTTGCTGCGCTGTGTGCTGCTTGTGTTTTGCTTGCGGTGTCCAAGTTGATTTGGGGAAATGGTAAGAAATACCTGTCAAGGAACATGTTTGACATTCTTAGGCCTCGGATGAACAAGGGTGAATCGGGCAAAGGTGGAATCAAGGTTCTCAAGAATGTAAAATGTCCAGAAGATTTATTGGGAAGACCACAATTAGACAGGCACAAATTGATGAATAACATCAAAAGAGCCAAGCAATCTAGAGAATTGTTTGACCTCAGTAGTGTATTTGGTTACTGTAGTGTTGCTACTTGTTATGATGTAATTATAACAGAGACCAGAAGAATGGTAACAAATGTTCACACGTTACTTGAAGGAATCCTTGAACAAAGCAAAACAAAGAGCAAACATTCTGTGTTGTTTCCACACCCTGCTGCTACCAATGGCCAAGAGGTTTCTGCAAGTCATGGTCAGTGTTCTGTATATCTCAATGATGTCTTAGGCTGTGCTGAATTACCTGATATCAGTATATCCAATAATATTATTGGGGAAACTGTGGAGTCGTCTGTGGATTTCAAAAGCAGTGCACAAGTCATGGACAATAGTGTAAAAAATCAGAATAATGTTGGAGATATTGAACCACCTGTGGACACACCTACTAATGATATGCCGACTGATGCAAAGGATAGTATACCCATGGTGCACGTGGTTGAAATAGAAGAACAGATTGGTTCTCCAGATGAATGTATTGACGGTCTTAATAGTATCAGCATCCCATCATCTGAATTTGAAGGACAAAAACAATTTCCAGACATAAGTGTGAAGAATGTGGATGGCATTTTTGGAATAAAATCATCACAGATCAGTAGTGATACAGATGTGATTGGTACAAATGATAATTCACACAAGTTTAGCATTAATGTTGCCTCAAAAACAACTGGTGATTTGTCATCTGGCTGTTCCAACAGCATACCATCTGAATCAGAAAGTAAGGAAATACCCGTGGATATTAATCGGAATGATCTCAATTACTTTCAAGAAATTGAAGCACAAAGTACCTTTGCAAATTATGATGCTCAGACAGTTCAGTACGAAGAAATTTCTCATAGAGTAAGCATGATAACTAAAGAAGCTTGTATAAATCCAGCAATGGCTGATATTTTGATTACAAAATCACCTCAGAGAATCGGTGAGGAGCCTGTGGATCTGATGAGAGGTAATGCACAATCCATGCAAGAACTAGAACCATCCAGCTCTATTAGGGATCACAAACAGATAGTTCTTGCAAATCAGAAAAACAACATAATAAGTAGAAGTCACAATGAAACACAGGCTAGTTCAGAAATAGACAGTATTGGGACAAATGATAATGCTAGCACATCTTCAGTTTATGACCTGCCGGAAGAATCAATACACCAAAGTGCAAAAAATTCAACAGAGAACACATCTTATAACGAAGAGCCTGAAGAATCTATTATTAAAAGGAAAATCAAATTACATCAAGAAATGTGCAACGATAAGGATGCTCAAACAAAGCACAAAGTAGAAGGTGTATCTGAAATTGGCCCTGAGTTTGGTCCATCAAATGATGTATGTAAAACTGAAACAGTGGCAAAGAAACGGTCAAAGAAAACGCCATGTGATAAGGGACTTAAAGTGCCAGAACAGGATATAGTTCAATGTAACAGCATGGCTGATAAGAAAAGCAGTAGCAAGAATGTCAAAAGGACAAGGAAAAATCTGAAAAGTGCACTTCGCAACCAAGGAACTCAAACAACACAAGAAATTTCTGAAACAGCACTCGTGGTAAATTCGCCTGATGATGCACCCAGAGCTGAAAACATAAGACCTTTTGGTGGGTCAGGTTCATCGACAGAAACACAATCTCCAATGTTTTCAGTAAGTTCCCTCCTGTTATGGTTTTTTTACTTAGATCTATGGAAATTTATTGTATTTGTAATGGATGATTATTATGTTTATTGCCTAGAACATATTATGTTCTTATAGGGCATTCTTGTGATGCCCCATCCAGCATATTGATATTCAATTTTTTGTATTGATGACTTGAAGTCTTTACATCTGGTTTGATTTGATTTCAGCCCTTCTACTATAGGATTTTGTTCAATTAAACACCTTTGTTTTTGCATCTAGATATTAGCTAATTTTACCTTTAACTGATATATCTTTGTTATGTGATGACTTAATATGAGGCTACAATGACTGTCAATTGTAATGATATTAACTATTATGTTGATCAATTGCCCTTGTCTAGGAAAAATGCTATGAAATAAACTGTCAAAAAATATATACATATAAAGAAACTAATATGTGATATGACTTGCCCTGATCCTTGCCTGTACATAAGTTATTTGAGAAGCTGCAATAATAACTTGATCATGCATTCTAATGGAACTAATTGTCATATTGTTCAATATATTTTACACAAGACATGCATGATGTTTCCCATAAGTGCACTCATATCTTCTTCACTGTCCTACAAGGCCTAGAATGGATTGAAGACTTCAAATTTACAAGTTCTTTTGTATTTGTATCGCTGTCTCTTTAAATTGGAAGTTTTTCATATGAAGTAATAGGTCAAATTCTTTCCTGTTTTATCCGTTGTCCTGTGTTTCTCATTAGTTATGTCCACCGCTCTATTGCAGGATACATTCAGTGAAGCTCGGCCTAATGGCTTCAGTATTAGTACGATGAGGAAGGAAAAATCAAAACACAATTTCCAACCTCTGGAAAGTGTAGAGGCAGCAGCAGTAAAATTTAAAACCAATAGGCATGGTGACAATATCATGAACGAGAGAGCAATTGATTTCGACATATCAAATTTGGGTGTAACCACCACCAAGAAAATGACAAAGAGGTAACTTTCCTGAAAGGAATTTCATTTTTCAAGTCAAAGACCACATATAGTAACAATTTAAATGGTATATTACTTGTTTGAATCGGTCATTGCACTTTCTTTTTCTTTACAGAAGGTCATTGTCAAAGCGTAAAAAGCCTGCTAATGGACTCGGAGGAGCCACTGACGTGCCACCAGATGTATAAATTGTTCCGTTTATTGTCCTTCTTGTATAGGGCTTTTCGGCAGAGTGGCAGCACCTAGTTAATGTGCAACAAATTGCTTGATGAGCGATTGTGTCAATATTGCACATGAAGCCATCAGCTAAAGAGGATAAATCATCTCAACAATCTGAGCAATAATTTCATGTTTCTTGTTGCAAGAAAAACTTGGTAATGTATTGCCTGACTGGATCTCTTTTTTAGTCCAACTGGATTATGTTCAGTTTTCACATTAATTCATAACTCCTATTCTGTTTGAACTGGAGCTCCATTGTGAAATTATATTCACCATAGTAGCATGCATAATGTGATTATTCCTAAAATAATGTTCTAGAACTCATGCAACTGGAAAATTTTAAACTTTGGCCACTAATATTTACAACAGTATACATATTTTTCCTGTTCAAAAATGTTGGTCAATTTAGAATCAGAAGTACTTCAATAGTCCTATTTTTAAAAACTCACTCCGTCCCAAAATATAGCAAACTAGTACTCAATTAGACACCACCCAGTACTACAAATCTAGACTGGGGGTCTAATCAAGTACTAGGTTGCTATATTTTGGGACGGAGGGAATACTAAATAAGGGATACATAACTGAAGGAGGTATGTTCATAATTAAGAAGAAGCTAAGTATTATAGAAATTAAAATAAACAACTTCATTTGTTTGGCATTGCTAGTGTGAATCAAACCATACAAGCCAAATGAGATTCACATGTGGATGATGCTTAATCATTTTGGGGTCCACAACTACACATCGTAATAAAATGAACAAAACACAACCTGAACTTTTGCATCCATGATTCGGTAGGATGATGGGCAGATAAGTGAATCATGTTTCTTCGTTCAAACAACTAAATTGTTCCCTTAGCATTGGTTGCTGCAGTGCAGCGCAGTGGGAGTTGGAATCAAACACTTTTGTACTCTTCTCTCCATTGTTGGTTGGTTTTAGAGATTTCATTAGCTCGGCAATAAAAACATGCCCATTTTAACCAAGTGAAGGTGATGTGAACCTGGATTCACATCTGGGTAACTACCATGTAGAGGAATTGCCAAACGACATGGCTTGAAGGGGTTTATGATATTAGAATGTGGAGATAGAAATGCAAAGGGACTAGAGAAGTAGATCAACTGAGACATATCTTTTGCTTGGTTGATAATGGATGCATGCTATCTCTTTTATAGAATGAGCAACCAAACTCTAGGGAACGATATGTAACTTCATACTCTTACTAACTATAGGCTCTGATTACTGATACTATAGTAGACTATGAACTTCGCTGACAGCTACTTAATTGGATTCCTTGGGCCATAAGACCATTTGGTCAACAACATGTCATTGTTGTGCACATGTGAACATCTATGCTACCACTGCTCTGCACCTGCTTCTATTGCTGTGATAATTGCCCATGATGCCTAGGCCTTTGCCTGGTGCAGCCATTTCCAAGTTCTATCAGAAAAATATTATGAGTGGGTGTGTCCCTTTGTCGTCGTGTGATGATCCATGACAAGAAGTGTAAATTTGCAGTACTATATCCGATTATGGACTGGTAGGCTGGTAGCTGTTGATCAGAACATGAACCATTAGTCCATTACAAATATGCTTCTATTTATCAATACAAACACTAAGAATGGATTACATCATGAGTTATCAAAATCGTTCAAACTTCCACTAAATTTTTATGTTTGTTAAGAACCTGTAACAGCATAACTTTATTAATCACAAGAAAAAATATGTATTAACAGTCTATCTGGAGAAGCTTATAAACTTTTTGGCAGATGGTGTGCTGCATAGCATCATGCCATGCCAGAAAAATTATGGGATAGATAATTAAAGACGAATTCATGGGTTTGAATAATTCCCCCTCAATCCATGGGTTATTCCACACCTATTGTGGTGTAGAATTATTCCCCTCAATCCCCTCCAAACCGAACAAGGCCTTAAGGATGTGGCACTGATACAACCAAACAACTTGGAGAAACTCAGGTACAATTTAATCTATTCCTACTATACCAATGGATTTATTGTGCCTTGGAGTTTTAGATTTATTGCACAAGTACTAAGAACATGATTATGTGTTTATCCTCTTGATAGATAGGATTGTTATCCTTCAAACGGTTCAAATAGCAGTACTCAGCATCTTGTTTCTTTTGGTGATCTGCATGTATATACTGTAAGCCACTAAGCCTGAAGGAGCTTCTTTGCTATTGGTTTGTGCATATTGCACACTTATGCTTATGCTTATCAGCCAAAATTTGAATTTTCAATCTTAAATTTGGAGCTGATTTTGGTGTTCTTTCATCGCAGATTATATTTTAGCCTTTGCTTTTAGATCGTTAAGAACAAGTACATGAAAGTTTTATTCAAAAATTATTTTTCATTTGTAAATATGTCGTTTCGCTTTATCCTCCAAACGATGAGGCTATAATAACCTATGAAATTTGCAACGCATGAAAGATTCCCATGAAATTCTGGTGAACCATGATGAGACATTCCTTTAGTTGGTCTCTATACTTTAAAACTCAAATATCTGCCAGCGGATACCTTATCTATGAGCACTGCACTTGATGTAGAACAAAGGGTGTATGTTATTCATAAAAAAACCATGTGTTGCAGCACCGCATTTAGTATGAAAATATTCTTCTGAAACACTAAATCTAGTGTAGATACAACAGCAATAAAATCTTGCAGCTTCTCCAAGGGGATGCCTTCTGTTTCTACAGATGCTACAGCATTGCCGACAAGTGTGGTGCTCAGTGAGTTACCACGGTAGAACAGAACCATGATGTACTTACCTCATGTATTTCTTGATCTCATGGATATCTCAATACCTCTTTGTGAGGTGTCCTCTGACGTGTAGTCCAACATAATTATTTAATTGCTCTTATTTTAATCAGAGAGATCGTTCTTATACTGCTTCTCAAGTTATTTGGAGTGTTTCCTAACCTTGCAGAGAAGCACATTTTTTTTCTGGCACATTATTACTCATCCACGACTGGAAGTAGGAAGGTAAGAGAGAACATACGGGGCTTGCAGGCTGAAATTTACTGGTAATGGCGTTTCTGGTCCTACCTGGATGCACTGGGTCTGCTCTGCTGAGGTTGCTATTTGGATCTGAAGAACTCAATGTAAGTACAAACATATGTTGGTGCATCCAGTGTTGAACTTTGGGTAGCTATGTTTTCCCATATATTTTAGCTTCGATACACAAAAATTAAATCATGTAGATTCGTCTGGAGAGATGCCTTCATATATTATGATGTCATTGGCTGTTACAAAAATTAGTGGTCATAGTTTTTTTTTTTTGGAGAACATATTATGCTCCATGACCAAAGGGGCAAGCCTATACACTATTTACCTGAACTTTGCAGTTACAAGCCTATTATTAACTGATCATATAATTGAGAACCAAAATGCAGCCATGACCACCACAAACGTCAGGAGGTGTGTTCTGATCCCCTCGTCGACGTTGGTACGCCGGCGTGCTTCGCTGCGGCTGGCTGTCTTCTTCTTAGCTCCGCCGTTGCCTTTGCCGTTGCCGCTGCCGTAGCCGTTGCCATAGTTCCCGTTCATCCCCTGATCGTCATCAGCATTCTCACCGTCGGCGCTCCTCTTCGACTTCTTGGATGGAGGCATTACGACGGCCTGAGGTGGTGGTGAATCGACGGTGGTCTCGGTCGCGGTTGCTGCCTCTGTTGCTGCCGGTGGCGCGTCCGTCTGCTCCTGCACCGGCACTGGAATACGGCAAAATTTGCAAGGAGCCAGTGTTGGTTTACGATTCACGAATGCCAGAAAATGTTTTCGATGCTAGTAAGATGATTTTTTTTTTTTTTACCTTGGCAAGACAGGACAGGGGGAGCGTAGAGGAGGCATCCAGGCAGCGGCAGCGCCAGCGGGAGCGTGGGGAGCGCCGCGGCGAGGCTGGCCAGCACGCGCACGCCGGCGCCACCGCCGTTCGACGGCAGCAGCAGCGAGCACAGGCAGCGGTGGCCGGCGTCGAGCGCCTGGTTCAGCGACGAGCAGCAGGCGCCGCTGATGTTCCCTCCTGCGATGCCGATGCCGGCGCCGGCGCCGGCGACCGCGTCCTGCAGGCACGGCGCCAGGTCCAGCCCCTCGAACATGCCGCAGCACGACGTGGGGATCGCCTGCGCCCTCGCCATTGCTGCTCCTCCTCCTCCACCGAGGAGGACCAGCAGATGGAGAAGAGCAGCGGCTGCGTGTAATCTGCAGCGCAAGTGATGATGATGCGGCAGATTAACTGGAGATGTCATGTTAATTAGCTGGCTAATGATTTGATCCGTGTAATATGCTGGTTTACTGATGCATTTTCATCATGGTTAAGATAAGAGAAGGTTTATATAGGGCAGTAACAGCATTGGTCAAACGAAGACCTGTATTAATGTTAGCTCATTTTATTTGATGTTTATGGAGAAACGATGCATCTTTTTGCAGTTGACTCATGCTTAATATGTGGCCGCACTCATGCATGCAGTCCATGTATACGTTTGACTCCGCACCTACCCGTGTTCCCTTGCGCCATGCGTGAGTGAGCAACAAGCTAGAGAACTCAGTAAAATTGTTCGTGTTCCCTTTTTTTTTTTTCATCAGTGAACTCAAGAATATTGCACGTAGCCAGTGTTGTAAGACCAAAGAAGGAAGCTAGCTCAGGCTTGATTATGTGCTTACATTCCATACTTGAAGAGCTCAGCAAAAAGAAACAGAGAACGAGACTGCATCAGAGGAGACTGGTGCAAACCATGGGAAACACCACCACACTCGCTTCTTTATTTGTGTCCACAGCAACAGGTGACATCACACGCTTGACTCATCTGACTGCAGCATATACACACGCAAAAGGTACAGGGACACGCACTAGCTGTGTACGGGCCGGCACAGTGATACCACAAAAAAGTACAGGGGACTGGTTCACTCAGCGTCGTCATCGGCGTCGTCGTCGGCTTGGTTGAGCCTCGCCGCCGTGGACACCGCGGCGCCCACCCCGCCGGCCCTGGTCCGCGCTGCGGCGTCGCTGTACGTCTCCGCCTGCACAACCTTCGCCGCGTCCTCTGCCCCCGCCACCTTGTCCCCCGCCAGCTTCGCCGTCGCGTCCTGCACGAACGCGAATCGCATCTCATACATTGTGTTACAACTCCAAACCGTTTGTACTAGTGCTCCCTACTTCTTGTTGGCAAGGGTTTTTTTTTTTTTTTGACGTACCGTGAGGACATCGCCCACCGTGATCTTGTCGTCGTCGCGGTCGGCGTCGGCGTTGGAGCGCGCCGCCGCCTGCGCCTGGTCGGCGAGGCCGCCGGGCATGGTCACGTCGGACCCTTGCGCCGCCATCTCCGCCGCGCGGATGGCCTCCACGTCCGTCCTGTCCACCGGACGTTCGCCCGCGGCCAGCGCCGTCGCCTCCAGCGCCTCGCCCACGGTTATCTTGGTCGCGTCCTGCTCCACCGCCTGGTCGGCGACGGAGTACTGCCCCACCACCTATACGCACGGCGCATCAGGGTCGTGAACATGATAGCCACCTGGGTATGATTGCAAGAAAGAAGACGCCTGAAGTTTGTATGTACCTGGCCGGCGACGAACTCGGTGATGATGCGGCCGCCGGGCACGGAGGTCTGGGTGACGGCGATGCCCTGGTTGGTGGCGGCGTCGCTGGCCTGGCCGGGACGAACGGCGGCGACGGCCTGGTTGTACGCGGCGGCCGTCTCCATGGCGACCCCGGCGCTGTAGCCCCCGCCGATATCCTGCGGGACGGGGACGCCCGGCACGCTCTCCTCGGCGGAGCGCATCGCGGCGGCGTCCCGCGGCGCGATGGGCTGGCCGGCGAGCTCGCCCGTGACGGCGAACACGTGGCCGTACTTGATGGCCTCCGTCTGGCCCTGGCCCTGGCCCTGGGCCTGGGATTGCAGCTGGTCCTCCATTCTCTGCGGCTGCGGCTGCGCCATGGCTACCTCTATCCCTCCGTGCCCTGTTTCCTCCGGCAAGCTAGCTCGTAGTAGTAGTGGTAATGCTTACTCCGGTGGTGCTCCGGCGGATCGAGAGTATGTATGATCGGACGTGGTGATCGGCGTCGCGAGCAGGGCCGCTTTTATCGTCGTCGCGGCGTGCGGCGACACGTTGGTCAGGCCGCGGTGATGCGGTGGCCGGCGAACGCACGGGACGGAGGACACGTCGCGGTTCGGCGCTGGAATGGTGGAGGGGGGGGGGGGGGCGTGTCGTCGCATGGTTCGGCACGGGCGCGTGTGGTACGTGTCAGCACGTCATAGGAGACGACGTGAAGGGGCGGTGCATGCGTGGATCACGTACTGGATATTTCCTGCGGTTGTACTCGTGTACTCGCGTACGCTCTCCTGCGTGGACAGATCCTTGGAATTTTGGTGTTTTTTATCATGCTTGGAATCTCCATCGAAGTTTATTTTTAGGTTTTTGAGATATACTAGCCTTTGGTCTTTAGAGTTGCACACAGGGTTTCCAAACTACAGGTGTTGGGGTTACCGCGTCCCGGTGGTAAGCACGGTAACCGTCACTACTATGAAAATCATCATTCGTGGCGGCCATTTTGGGTTTTCGCTGGCGGAAATCGAAGCCGCCAGAAAGCAAAGGCCAGTGAAAATGTCGATTTTCGCTAGCGGTTATTTACCGCCAGCCAAAATGCATATTCGCTGGCGGCCGAGAAAGGAACACCCGCCAGCAAAGAGATGTCTTCACTGGCGGTAGCCTTAGGACGGCCACCAGCAAAGACATGTCTTTGCTGGCGGCGGACATAACGCAGCCGCCAGCAAAGAAGTATCTCCACTTGCGTTAGCCTTAGGTCGGCCGCCAGCGAAGATAATTCTTTGCTGGCGGCTCACAGTATTTTAGGCCACGTGGCACGCTAGAAAAAAATGAAGTAAGGCTTCTTGGATGGACATGTGGCCCGACAGCGAAGATATGGACCGTCCTAGTTCTGACACGTGGCCTGCCAGTGAAGATGCAATTTTTTTTAAAAAAAATAAAACATTATTATATATATTATTTTTTCTTTTCTTCGTGCGCGTATTTCAGAGTCAGACATGGTTGATATAACTAATCGAGCTATCGATAGAGTATGTTCTCTTTCGCGTATTTTAGAGCCACGCATTGAGTATATATGAAGCAGAATAATATACATATATATAAATATTCGGAAGCACCTATATATATGTACGTTGACATTAAATTCGACCGACGACATAACATTTACAAGTATTTTGAATGAATTACAAAACTCTAGCTATATTATATGCCTGGTCCAGTTAGACAGGGATTCGTTCTCCGGCAGGGCTAAGACTCCTTCGTTGTCAAAAAACCGCCCAAGCTGATGTGCGCACTCACGGTGGATGAAGTAGCACATGTCTGCCTGAATGTCCTGAATGGATGTATCATTGAGCTCTCTTTCAGACTTGGGAAATTTTGGAAGCTGCATAAGATCATGACAGAATTAAGGAAATTAACTATTCACAATAATACAAGTTAGCGACTAATTTAACAAGTGTGTATTACTTACCTCGTCGTAATTCGTACAATATTTCCCATTAACCCTTAGGAACTCACAACAGTAATATCCGCATAGTACTGTTCCCACCGGTTGCTTGTGACACTTTCAACATCAAAATAATTATAAGGTATAATAGGTTATTACATGGAAACACACAAGCATTTATGAAAATTAAGATAGTACTGTTTGGCATCCATATATATGTACTTACCGGCCACTTATTGCGGACGAATATGCGTTCTCTTGAGTTTTTGCATTGTCCATCTCGCTGGTAATACCTTTTAAATGCACTGTTTTGCGGATATAATTAATTTACGTTCATTAGAGGTTAAAACACGTCATGCTAATATCTTACTTATAGATCGATAATTCGTAGAAATTCCTAATAGGTGTTACTATCTTTGTTGAGAGAATCCAAGACGATGACTTCATTGTACTTTGGATAGAGAAGAAAGACTATCCAATGGTCGCTGCAAACGAAATTGTTAGTCGAGCCATGATTATATGTATATACTCTTAGTGCATATATATTACAACTTACTCAAAGGCATATGGGGCATAAACACACTCCTAGTCCTGCGTAGATTCAAGCGCAATAGCTACGTACGTAGCAACATCGAGCACCTTTTCAAAATGCTTTTGTGCTATGTAAGCTTTCCTCTCTTCGGGAGTCATTGCCTTGATGTGTTCCGGTAGCTTCTTCTCGTCTAGCGTGTATGTTTGGTTCGATTTACTTATCCTGCACGGGTTTAGGTAGGCAACAGGCTTTTTCATCGCTTCGGCTTCCACGTAATTCATCCTGCCAACAATGAATGATCAAATGAGCTACGCATATAGGTGTAGTGATCTATTAACACGTTCAAGTGTAGCACTTACAGACACCAGATGGCAATCAAATTGGCGTCCAGCCGCTTCCTATGGTAGAGGGAATGCATATCGGAGAAATAGACTTGGAGTAGACAAGGACCGCTCCAAAAGATGTTCTCCCCCACGGCAACTGTGAATGAATCGATGCCTTTCATGGTGCTTGCCCTAATGTACCAATCGTGCCACCTTCTTAGTTGCCACGGTCCTTCTCTTAGTTGCCAGTTGTAAATGAATGGTTTGCCATTCTCAAACTCGTGTGGCACATCTGGGGAATTGATATAGTTGAGATAGTCATCGAAGGTCTGTTTGAACCCTTTTAATTTTTTGTTATCAAATTCGACATTTATGATATTTTTGTCCCTTCCTCGGAATGCCGTTACCATATAATGTTTCTTGGACACACTTTTTGCTTTGTGCTTGTGCGTCCATCACTGGCACATCGGCACCCTTAGGTTCCTCTGGTTGCGATTGCTCTGGTTGATCGGGCATTTGCTGATCAGGCACCGCTTCAATTTCACCCGCCGCTAGCTTTGTAGGCTCTGCTTGTACATGCTCTGATGGTTCTTCTGCATCCTTTTCTGTCCGAGGTGATGCAACGGGAGGCTCCGGTACTGGAGGTGATGCAACTGGTGGCTCTGGTACTGGAGGTTATGCAACTGGTGGCTTTGGTCCTGGAGGTGATGCAACTGGTGGCTCTGGTCTAGGGGGTAAAGCAATAGGACTATCCCTCGGACTGGCTACGATTGGTGGACACGACGGTGACACCGGTATCCTTGGTGGACGATTAGTTCCATCCATTGACCCTAGTTCAATATCATTCTTGTGCCATAGTATGAATTGGTCGACGGCATCTCCAAGGTACACAATCTGCTCAGTAGTTGGAAAGTCGAGCTCGTGTATCTGGTAAGCCTCAATGACCGTCCGGACCTCTACCTTGGCGTAGTCATCCGGAATGTCTTGGCAAAGAAACCTGCGGCCTGGTATGAACCTCCTAGTTGCAACGAGTATTTTCTTTCCTGCCCTGCCGACCGGAATCAAGAGCTTGCACGGAGTATCCTCCGTTACATCATCGAAAGGATAGCTCGGCTCAGGCTCTAAAACAGCAGCACCGTGCATCATTTTCTGACTCCAGTATATATTGCATTCATCGCGAGCTACTGCCCTAGCCTGAGAGTCAATCTCTTCCTTGTAGCGATCACGCTTCTTGTAGGTATGAGCATCCTGTTTGAATCCATCCTTCCAGTTAGTCTTTGAGGAAACTCCCTGTACACGGCCAGAGTGCTCCGGTTTGCCCAAGGCATAGGTCAACTCGTCCCGGTTTGTATCTGGCACGAACGTCCCGGCCTGTTGCTGCGTGACGATGTTCTTCATCTTGACAGCTACCTCCTGGAGCTTCTGATCCTTGAATACTACATCCCCCTCAGGGGTGAAGGCCGGTGTTCTTGCACGCACCCAGTTCCTACTTTGTGGGTTGTGATTTTTCATAGGAACGGGTTTCCCAGCCTTCTCCATCTCTTCATCTTGTTTTGCCTATTTCTTCACCGCTTGCCGGTAACCGGTCGATCACAAATGATGTGGATATTCATTCCTTCTTGCTAGCTCAACCATCTTCTGGCTCTTCTCCTTTTCTTCTGTCGATGTCTTAAGGGCAACGAACTCATCCCACTGGGCCTGTGTTATCCTTCCGTAGTCCTTAAACGGAGTGAGTCCCTTCTGGACATATTTCTTATTCAGGTCTGTTTTCCAGTTTCGCCACAACTTCCCCATTGTCTTCAACGCATAATCCTTAGCTTTATCGTTGTCTGTCCCCTCCGGATATTCAAACTTGCTTTGCAGCGACGTCCAACAGCTATTCTTTCGACTCTCTGGAACTTTCTTCCAATCCTTCCATGTGATCTCCACGATATCCCTGACCACCGCCCCACATTGGTTGCTATACTTCGAACATGAGTCTTGCGGTGATAGGGGTTCCCCTATCTCACTCATCCGCGTCAGCACGCTTACTTCCTTCAACAACATGTTCTTCCCTCGCTCGCCCCTCCTTTTCTTGGGTTTGCTTAAAGCTGTTGTGCGCACGACAGCTGTAGCTTCAGCTTCAGGTTCAGTTGCGGCTTGGGCTTTCCTTTTGGAGCGACGTGGAGCATTCAACTATTGTTTGCAATTAACGTGACTTTAATTAAAATCCATAGTTCGCGGTTAATATGATTGGAACTAAACATATATTATATGCTACGTACCACCGATTCGGGGGGAACGTAGTCAGAGTCAACTTCATAGTCGCTACCGCCCTTTCTCTTCTTTGCAGGAGAAGGATGGGGGTCACTCGGCGAGTGATACGATCCACTACCTGGTTCATTTGAGCTAGACGACAAAGATTCCTCCGCGACTACTTGCGTGCAAATATCTTCCTCCATGACTAGCTGAGTTTCCTTGCTCTTGTCACCCGTGGGTTGCTCTTGGATGGGTTTGTCCATTGATATCGCTTGAAAGTGAATTTATGTTAGTTGCGAAATGGAATCATTTTCTTATTGTAAATCCAAAAAGAAGGAAAAATTTAGATACTAATTTTGTACAACAACTATAAATATTGTTATTGCCAGCAAACTCCTTGATCGCTTAAAGAAATCAATGAGATTGGTAACGACATCAATATTACAATCCACCAACCCTGACCATTTCAAACTACCTA